AACATTCGGGAGCCCAACGACCGTCGAGTAGTACGCCTGTCCCGGTGGCAGCGGCCCCATAAATATTGCATTTAAATATTTCCTGTAGTATATTCCTATCATAATAATAGCATAATTAATTACTACGCACTGACTCCACATTAGTAGTACTAGTAGTATCTACATTGCACCCGTGCAAAGTGGGGGCGGATCGCTATAATTTAATTAATAAGAGTTCTTGTTTGTTTTAATGTACTTATATCTATAGGTATCAGTCAGATTTTAATAATTCATTTATTGGATAGAGTATTTATTAAAGAAGATTATAAGCAATGTAACATAGCGATATGACCGTTAGGAGAAGAGCAATTACTCTGAGGGCAGGTAAAACCTGGTGACGTTTCTAGGTAGACACCACAACTTGTAGGTGACTGGTAGAGCTACAAGCTGTGGTGTCCACTACACCACCAGACTCATCATTTATTATATCATTACGTATAAATTGTGCCTTTTAGTTTATTAAAATTGTTTTATTAATAATTTTAGTTTTAGTTTTATGTAGCAATCAATTAATTGTTTTTTTAATACGTTTTAAGAATTCAGTATCTCAGTATTCTTACGAACCGATATAACGTTTAATGACCAATTAAATAAAACATTAAACTGTTATCTGCACAGGATACCCATTAAATAAAAATGTCATTTAATATTTCAATGTGTTTTAGTATCGATGTACTAAAAGCTCCGAAATACCTTGACAATTGTATTTATTATCTTATGAGTTCAGATCATATTATAAAAATCCTCTTTAACTGAGGACTACGTTTTTTTTGTTTCCTATCCGGACTTTGAGTTTGTGTCTGGGTCTATCGCCTTGTCCCTGCTTTTCCTTACCCAATATTTTCGGAATATTTTTAATATTTCCGACAACTGACACAAAACGCCATCTCAACTCAATCATTTTTTTTTTGACAACATTATTAATAAGAGAACAAACATACATGAAACGGACACAAAGAACACCCAGACTCAGAACAACAGTTTGTGGATCACACAAAGTGTAGTCCCCATGTGGGAATCGGATCCACAGCACTGCAGCGTAGTAGTAAGCGGCGTGGCGACTGCTTAAACCACTACGCCATCCGTGCGTTTCAAACTATCAAAGCTAGACTGACGGAGGGGGGGGGGGGGGAATAACCTTTCTCAACTCTTTATCCATCGTGATGTAAGGAAATAAGACTCCTTATGCACTCGTCGGGTACAATTACATCGAATCAAAAAGGAATCACACTGAAATATGCACAGGTAGCTTAGATGTAGTCGGATTACTTGCAGAACGCTGCAAAGTCGGAATTAGTTTCCTCCGCTCTTGCTCACTCGAAAGTGAACATTGTTTGCGAATCACCCATCCGAATTCGCCCAAATCTATTAAATTTGACGTTCCGCTTCGTTCTCCGACATACTTCGATCAGATTCAGATAAACATTTGGTCCGACCCGGGAATCGAACCCTAGATCTCTGCACAGCTGTCGCATACACTATCACTGCACCACCGAGGCACTGAACGTGTGTACAATGTACCTTCTTTCTTTACAACCTGGAGACATCCTTCTTGTTGTTTCCACGTGAGAGCTCAGTAACACAGGCACTCTATACAAGTACGTTGACAATGGGGCGACATTTCCTAAATAATATGTGTAATGTAAAAAGTAAGAAAGAAAGTGCCGGAAACCGTTGGATGCAGGCCGCAATCAACCGTCCCCGCTGGAAATCATTGGGAGAGGCCTATGTCCAGCAGTGGACAAGCATAGGCTGAGGTATATAAAAAGTAAGAAGACTAATGAAATAGGTTTTAGACTGTTTTCATGTTACTGCGTTGCTTTAGTGAATATGGGATCAAGCGCCTTGTATTTTAATCTAAGATTAATCTGTGTCTGTACATTATTTTATTCTAAACAAATTCGAAAGGACTCAAAGCGAAGCTCAGGACCGAACTCGATAGAGAGAGACTGTGCCCTCTGCCCCATCCTGTGGTCTTAGGATATTAAGTCAAGACCAAATAAACGGTACTACCGTTTCGCCCGTGATGGTTCTTAGATCTTGGGTGCGCTGTGCTCGAAACTTACACATTCCTTTAGCCGTTAGAGCGTGATGCCAATATTTACAAGCAGGTTATATGTATATTCTGATAGATTACTTTAACCTCTTTAAAATCTATATCTTTTGCATCTTCGCATCAGATGTTTAAACAAACTATGAGTTCAACAGATGCTCTTGTTTTTACATATGGCAGCTTAATCATGTAAGGATGCAAGATTAGTTTTAAATTTTGCAACGTTTGTGGGAGTGTAGCCCAAGATATCTGTAAGTCCCATGACAAAAAGCGACCATTTTTTTGTCATGGGACTTACAGATATCTTTGGGTAACAGAAGCGGCGCCGCCTCCTTTGTTTAAAAGACGGTTTTGGAATGTTGTACTAATTAGGGAATGATTCATAAGATATGTTGATATCTTTCATTGCTGTGTCCACAAAACCTGTATAAGGATACTGTGTAGAAACGCCGTGTGGACAGATGAGAACCTCTCATGTAACTGGAAGTATTAGTTTGGACTTTTACGCCATACTGGAACCCTGACAGAGCCAAATAACGGCTCTGTAAGACTGCGAAAAGGAAACTAACGCAAATTCGTTATTGAATAGACAGTCCAAAAAAAAAAAAATAGTAACCTTGCACATCTAACACTCAGCCGTCTGATCCCAAACTAGGCCGAGCCTGTACCATGATAATCAGGCTGCTAAGAAACATACCAATAAATTTCTAAATACGTACATAATATAAATACTCGTAAATAACGGTAACGAACCCACGACCTCCGTGGCAGTCAGAATCACTACCCAATAGATGACTAAACCAACAGGCCCGTCAATGCAAGAAACAATACAAAATGAAGGCATAAAAACCATTGATTGCAAAACAAGTGAGAAGCTTTCATTATTCAATATTAAAAATACAATTCCCTACAGAAATATAAATTACAGTATTATAATGAGTTCAAAACTCTTCAACCGGTTTGAATCATGAATAAAATTCAATATTCTAAATTCAAAAGCGTACGGCAAATAATGCGATGCGAAAAATTCTCACCCGGTTATCATTTATACCGCAAAATAAACCCATAGGAAAATTTGATTCCCGCCATTTAAAATTCTGCTTTCAATCTAAGGTCATCCAGTTGTAATTTGAATACACTATTTATTCGATTCATCGTAAGTTTTCAAATACTGCGTAGAATTTTTAGTTTAGAACGAATATTTTTTATTTTATTTTTCTTCAATGCAATTATCATCATCAACAGCCTTAAACAGTCCACTGCTGGACATAGGCCTCATGTTAGAAAGGAGGTTCTAAAAAAGCCTAAAAATGTTAGATGCAAATATATTTTAATGCAAAATGTGTGTAAAATTATTTTATGCCTTTAGTTTCCACGGCATATTATTTATTTGACGCCATATTTTTTTTTGTATTAGGCTGTAGAAACCAAAACTGTGACACTCGTCGGTCGGTAAGTGTCGGTTCTTATAATGTTTTTGATTAGAGTAATCAATGGTTACAGAAAGTCAGGCTAAGTTTGATCACCCTTGTCCAGCGGACCCTCCCTTCTTGTTCCGGTTGGTGGCTTCATTTAAAGAATATTCCCCTACTCTTGATCTCTAAATCAATGGGAAGTGAATTAAGTTGTGCAGATATGTTCGGACTTTCAATGCTCTTTGATTTTTTCATGTCGTTCCATAGACGTAAGTATGGACACGGCACAACATAGTGCATCCTCAGATAAACTTTTTGTTAAAATATTCCATAAACTTTTAGAAAACTTAGAACTTTGTCGTGTTTGTTATCACGAACGATATACGTATCATAAGATTGACCTTTTTCCCAACCTTAACCTAAAATGGGAAAAATACACTATAATTGTATATTCATTACTGCACTTGGATAAAACCGACATAAAAAAATGACATATTTATGTCCGTCAGTCCTGTACTCCTTTATCAATTTGTAAAAATTAATAAAATGTGTACAGCTGGCCTCTCGAGTTCGCGCGTAAATACTTAAAACGCAGCGTCAACGCTAACGAACCGCATCGACACTTCACTCGTCGAGTGTATTTTTTTGACCAAGTAGGTTATTTCGTATGGGTTAAATGTTTACATATAAACAAAGGAACATTTGAAAGATTATTTTAGCTTCTGGAAAGTGTACTTTAAATAATAATACAATATGTCGCATGCAAAAGCTAAGCTTATTGTAGAACTTGTCACTTAATTTAGGTGTTCCTTGGGAATCGTAGTACGACGAAAACCTTTGTTTAAGCGACTTAAACCGATATGTTCTCGATTCAGTTGTATTTTATTTATGTTTGTTATTTCAGAACTCCGTAATTTATGTACTGATTTCTTGATCTTTTTTTGTGGTGACGGACTAATCGGAATTTGTCCACCCCTATTCATCCTGTGGGTATCGTAAGAGCCGACTAAGGGAGCAAACTACGCAGGACAAAATCACTGCAAAGAGAAGGAAAACTGGACACAAACCCTTAACCAAAACGTCTGGCCAGCGTGGTATATCAGGCCAAAACCTCGTTTCTAAGAAGTTTCCTCTGTCCAGCAGTGGACTATTAAAGGCTGTTGATGTGTGAGGCGTTTTTTTTTTGGGATATAGGTACTGCCCATTCAGTCCCATTCAAATTTGAAGAGAAAAGGCGCTAAAACCGGAAAGTTAAGGGATTAAAGAATAAAGTTTATTACAATTCATCATGATTTACATCAAAACGCGAATTGAAGTCGATTCTTCTTCTTTTAATACTTATTAATTATTATTTTACGACTTCTCAACGAGTACGTTGTCGCTTTCCGTAACTACTACTGACAATGTGTTTAAACTTTAGCCATCATTTCAAGTTTGTTAAAACCAGATTCTGGTTCAAGAATATAAATTTTAATTAAATATTTTTGTTACAGATTTTCAATACACATTTGGATTGGATGGTGAGTATAACAACTACATGATAATAAAAGTCGCCCCTCTGGGAAAGTTCAGTTAAAGAAGTTGTTCATTCTTCCATTGTCCTTAAGATTGTAACACAAATGAACTGTATTGTAAAAATAGTGTGGAGATATATTTGATCCCGTATTGCGCAATCAAAGTTCTCGTAATGATTATTACCAAATATGTACACTAGTAACCCTTAAGGCTCAGCACGGGCAATAGAAAAATAATAATAGCTTAAAAAAACCAATAAATAAATAGGAAAGCAAACTAAAAAATGGAAAATAAATTTATAAAAAAATATTTACGACCTTTACTACCGAGGTCTTACGAAATAAACTCTACATACGGTAGGACCGATGGTCCTCGATATACCTACAAAGTTTGAATGAATTCTGACCGTTTAAAGTCAGTCAAAATCACGCCCAAAGGAGTCGGTTACAAACAAACATACAAACATACAAGTGAAGCTAATATAAGCGTGTAAAAAGAGTTTATTTCGTAAGACAAGGCATACAATTTAATTCATCTCCTCTTAGTACAACAACTTATTCAAAATATATTTCATCATAATAGAGCATCGGTACACACATATATGCTAACAAATTTTATTATTTTGTGGTAAAATTGAAGCTTATCGCGAATAGACAGGCGCTGGAGCGGAATTTAGTTTAGAAAATGTGGTAAAAACTTCTCAAGTTGGTTTAATCCGGCTCCTCGCCGCTTTCTACTGTGCTGGATGTTGTAGGTTCGATCCCCACATGGTAAAACACTTTGTGTTTTACCATGTGGGGATCGAACAAACAACAACAACAACAAATTGTTGTTTTCTTTGTAGGAATGTTTGAACAGTCTCTCGCGATTCAGGCTATTTTCCTAGTGATGGAGTTGTCTTTTAAAAAAAAATATACATGGACCGGCGTTGTCACTGGCCCTCACCACTAGGTACTATGTAGGTCCTATTCATCATCATCATCATCAGCCTTTAATAGTCCAATGCTGGACATAGGCCTCTCCTTAGAAAGAAGGTTTTGACCCACTATACCACACTGGCCAAACAGGTTGGTATGCGGTTGGTGGCAAGTTTTCCTTCTCTTCGCAGTGCTGTTGTTCTGCGTAGTTTCTTAATAGACTCTTACGACACCCACGGGATGAGTAGAAGTGGTGACTCTCCGTATTCTTAATCTGTCACCCTACAGATAAGGATAGGTCCCATTGGTTGCGGTTTAGGCCCGATAAAATATTCAACTCCCTCTCTCCTTGAACCGTCTTGCAAATGCTTGTACATCTACCCCCCCCCCCACCTCCCCCTAGAATTAAGCCCCAAGGGCGAAGTGGGGGGATGTTTGACCGCAAAGACCTATCTTTGCCCCTAGGTCTCGAGTTCTATTTTTACACAGATATGCTTATAATATGTCTAGCTGCTTGTAATGCGTATAATTGTTATTATAAACTAGCAGGGTCTTTTTAAGGTATTGGGATGGGGGGGACGAGCAGACAGTTCACCTGATGGTAAGTAACTATCGCTGCCTATGAACACCCGCAAGTCTAAAGTTACAAGTGCGTGTAGCCCCCCTCCCCCCTCCCCCCGAATTAGGAGGAGAAAGTTTTGGGATCCCATATCCTCACTGGGTTAACATAATTATATCGGTAACGAATTACTACCAACTTATTCTCATAATTTAAGTATGGTAAAATGGAATAAATATGGCGGGTTTAGAATCTTACCTCATTGGCGCGCTCTTTGACCATTCCATGTCCATTTGACAGTTTGTTTCTGAATGTTGCCATTTTTGTCACCAGTGCCAACATTAAGGGAATGAGCGAAACGAAATGCAGTTGTTCACTTGCATTTGGGTTCTATTTCTAAGAATGGCTTTTTGAAGATTACTGGCTCATTGAACCATTGCGTCAGGGGGCGTCAGAGGGCATTAAACAAAAGGTCGCCGCCGGTCGGGACGTACCTTTTGTAAGGTTAGTCTGACTCAGAATGTCATGTAGTACATTGAATATCGTATAGAGAGTAACTTTGAACTTATAAAGTTCGTAAAATATTAGGTCTAAAGTTACCCTTCTAACGCTGTCTATAGCTCTGGAGTAACGGCCTTTTGGCACTAGTGTGTTGGTAAAAGGACGATACAGTATATTCAGTTTAAGCAACAAGTAAAATACTTTTGTTAAACAACTATTTACATACTATTAATAATCGTATTGTTTTTTTTAATTTATCTTATCTTGAATTGAACCTTATACACATTTTCAAATACTAATTGCTCAATGTCTCTAGAAAGTCTTTGAATAACTTGAAAAACTCGATAAACGATTTGTCTTATTTAATTGTGTTCTGTACATGTGTTTATCCAAACAGTTACGAATATTGCAAATACGAACTCATCCCGATATAGATTCCTGCTCAAGTAGCACTGACTTTTTGACGTGTGCCCAAACCTGTTCGTGACGTGTGCTCCTGTGCCCAAACTTGCACAATTCATAGTTGTTTGCATTGATCTTGAAAGCTTTATCAGTCAATCCGCCGACGTCAACTTTAGACTAATCCGCCTTGACTTTAGACCAATTCGGAGGCTCATGCACAATAGTAAATCAGTTTCGAACACGTCTTGCATCGATGAAGAATGTATCATCATCGACAGCCTTTATTACTCTACTGCTGGACATAGGCCTCTCCTTAGAAAAGAGGTTTTGGCCTACTATACCACGCTGGCCAGACGGTTTAGGGTTTGTGTCAAGTTTTTCTTCTATCTGCACTGCTGTTGTTCTGCGTAGTTTTCTCCCTTTGTCGGCTCTTACGACACCCACTGGATGAATATAGGTGGTGACACTCTGTATTCTTACTCCGTCACCACACGGTGTATGTACCTTGAATGTATACCTTACCTTAATAAGTGAAGAAAAATCTCATGACATATCATTCGCATGTCATATTTGGAATACTTAATTTTTATTTGGGTAAGAAGTGCCCACACAGGATTGGGCCATCTCCACGCCGTGGATGGCCCGAGGTACGTCGGGGTACCAGGGATTTCCTTTCTAGGGTACACCTGGTTCCCCGGCTACTGGTACCCGAGACGGCGTGCGGTTTTTGGTCAGTTCGAGTCCGACATAATCCCCCAATGGGTGATATCCGAGGGGATTTCCGCACAGGAAAAAAAATGGGGAAGAAGTGCAGAAGGCTTTTAAAAATTTTAGACGATATGAACTATAAATTAAAAATTTAAAAATTTAAAAACTGCTAGAAAACTATGTAGGTCCAATCAATATTTTGACTTATGGTGCAAAAGTCTCAACAATGACAGTCCAAGTTAGACTAATCTTGGATGTAAAACTAGATATCTATTGAAATTCCACCGCCTTGCAATCTCTTGTTAGCATTATTAAGTTCCTAATATTCTTTTTAAAATATTTTAGTACTGGCCTCTTTTTAACTTATTTTAAATGGAAACGATATCTCCTTTAAATAGAATATCGTTACAACTGAAGTACCTTACAACTGAAGTACCTTCTTGGTAGCGTAGATAAAATCGATATAGATAATCAGTATGCAGGGCGATTAGCCTCTTTGCTGTTAAACAGACTCAGCAATACTATAGCGAGAGCTTATTATGGGTATCGTCCTTGTGTATCGATAAACGCTTAACGTAGATTAGGAGGAATATACAAGCTAGCGGCACTACAGCTATAAATACACCTACTATAGCGAATACTCTGGAGAATAATACACCTACGAGTATGTCAGTGGGCTGAACGAATACTCTAATTTTGGTTCTCTCGTTTTAGTTGAACTTAAATTGACGGGGATTGGATCAGCTTACCGTCAAGACCTGTTACCTCTTGAGCAACGGACTCCCCAATTATAATAATTATATATTTACGTTAATTGGCTATTCTTCCTCGTTTATTGCCCTCAAGCGACAGCGACAACACTAAGAGTTTATAAGAAACCTGAGCGTTCTCTCTAAATTTAAATCTGTCTGGGCTAAATTAGGACTACGTCAATGTAATTATGCATTTCCTTAGAGACATCTAAAATGTAATCCTAAGCTTTTTGAAGTGATAACTTCTTATGGGAGGGTAAACCGCTTTGTTACGTAACGCGTTACGGCGCCAGTCTGTCTGACTTCTCTTTCTCTCACGCATACGGCAGCGGTAGGCAGGCTCCTCCTCTCTTACTCTAACCCACAGCGCTAGCCGTATTTCTGACAGACGCTTTACATAAAATTTAAGTAACCTTAGGTTACTTAAATTTTATGTAAAGTTTTCAAGCTTTTTTCAAGTTAAACAATTTCAATATTAATTAGTTCAACTTAGATTAGTTTAAGTTATCACTTTCATTGCGTGATTCAGGATTAATAGTTATTTCAGGTTTTGCATACAACTAAAAGTATACTACGTTTAGTTGTATGTGAAAGTCGATACAGGCTCTGTGTATGTATGTATATGTATATGTCAAACAACAGCAATTAAAAAAAAATAGTTTTCATGAAACTAATACACGTACACCTGCAGTGAAATTTTTTAACAATTGGAAACAACGGATACTAGTGAAAAGATCGCCATATTGTCAGCGGAAACAGAAATCATTGTTTGGTCCGTGTTCCGGAACCTAGGCATTGTCGTTTTTCATTCAGACAGTGAATGGGTCACTTTATAAATATTCAAAAGTGTGAATAGCTAGCTTTCGTAGTACACTGTTTTTTGTTTTTATAAATTGATATTAATTTTAAAGATATCCGTTCTTGCATAAGTCATTTTATATTAACTAATTAACTAGCCATTCTTACAGAGATGATAGATATCAATGTGTTGATGTAACACAATTAACCGCCAAAGACTGTATTGAAGTAAGGAGATCCAACTATGATTTAAATAAATTTGGAGTTCCCCAGGGCAGTGTGTTGGGCCCATTACTCTTCCTGGTCTACATTAACGACTTGCCAGAAGTTACTCACCATAACACTATACTATTTGCTGATGATGTGTC